TCCGACATTGCGCCTGACCGAAGAAAGAATATACATATCCATATGTATGTAATGTAACGTATTGAAATGTAGTGGAATGGAACCTAAGCATGTATGCACCTGTTTATCCCTGAGTTCGCCTGTTCTTGTAAGTCTTTCCACTGCATCCGCCTTTGTGCGCTTTTGCCTCCGACAGCAGCAGAGCGCAGTGGCCAAAAGGAGCTTTTCTCACCTATCCTCCGGCAGAAGTTGAAGTTTGAAGTCTGTCTGATGATTACAAATCTTTCTGTCTCTGATATCCAAGGTCCTCAGAGCATTTGCCCATCCTCAAAGAAGTGCTGGAGCTGAATTTCCCCGGACTTCTGGCTCCCTGGGCATCTCTTTCTTGTAATCGATGTAGGAAAACCAGGGGATGCTTGGCTCACTGAGTTCGAGCGCGTAGAAGAAGGAACTTCTGGGTTGGGGTCTTCTAACTTTTGCTTGTGGTCACTGATGTGATGTTCCCCAGGAGGTTGAGGAGTCGAGGGCTTAGGAGCCCCGAAGTCAACAACTCCTTATCCAAAACCCCAACTGCGAAAGTCGAATGACATTGTCGTGAGTGCTGAGGCTGAGCCCTGTAGACCCAAAGGACCTTTCAACACCCCCTAAAGCCCGAGAACCAACGCTCGTAGCGAGGTTAGAGTTCTGGATGTTACGCAGCCGCAGCCGGAGGAGTGACTCTCTACGGGTTGTTTCTGAGGGGTTTCGGGATTAACGAGAGGCAAGGCTTCAGTAATAGGCACACGGCTTTCTGTCTCTTTTGCTGCAACAGTACGTAGTAGTACAGCACTTTCACGATCACGACCACTGAAGCAACAGAATGATTTTCAGTTCACAATGAGGGGTGCTGTCGGTGCGACGGCATGTGGAGATGCAAGAAGCTTTGCACCACTTGGCCTGAAGGACATCTTGGAATTCGCCGGTCCCAACGAGACAAAGGGGTCGAACCCCGGCCTATGACATCCGGGCGCAGGGTCTTAGGCTTGGCTTGTGTACCCCCCTCCCCCAGCACCTACGCGTGCACTCGCCCCTTTGCACGAGCAAGAACAGCATGTAATTGAGAGTCGGATTTACGAAACAGGAGAGAAACACCGCGAAAGGGACTGCAGCACGGGAGAAAGAGCATCAAACCACTGCGCTCGACAGCGAGGGCCATGTTTTTCAGAATACCCTGGCATGGGTTAAGTCTCAACATGCAGCCCATGCAAGATGCTTTGCAAACTTCTTGCAGACTGGATGGGTCGGTGGCCCCACCCACCCACCCACCCACCCACCCACCCACCCACCCACCCACCCACCCACCCACCCACCCACCCACAAACCCACCCACAAACCCACCCACAAACCCACCCACAAACCCACCCACAACCCCCCCAAAACCCCCCCCAAAACCC